ATTACAGTGATTGGATTATCCAAGGCATCAGGAACAACTTGTGCATGCCAGCCTTTTCTGCCCCTCCACGGAAAGGACACTGGCACCGATGCCAGGCGTCACTGTCGCTTTAGCTGTCCTGAGTTCTGGGGGGGAGGGGTGCACTGGATAACAGCTCACTCACTCGATGAGATTTAAGTATAAAGGGACTGAAAGCAATCTCATTTAAGAACCTTACCAGAAAAAAATATTAGGAGGAAAGAAAGTGACTTCTAAATTGCATTCCTGTCTCAGACACAGGGTGGATCCACAGCTGATAATAAAGACCTAAGAGGTGAGGAAAAAAAAATCTCTTAACCAGTTTTTTCCAAAAATAAATCAATAACAACAGGGCCTCCCTGGTGGTGCAGAGGGTTGAGCACCGCGCTGTGAAGCTGCCCGCAGCCTCTGCAGCGCGGGTTCAGTTCCCGGCTGGCCAGGGAGAAATCCACACGGCACAGCAGGCCTCTCCTGTCTCCCCGCTGCTCCCCTCAGCAGTGTTATTTCATCAGTCTGCCTGTTCTGCTCCCCACTCTGTCTCTGGTGAATCCTCTCACCCCCCACACCTCTGGCCTCTACCCCAGTTCTTGTATAAATAAATACATAAATCTTAAAAAAAAAATCCTACTGGTGGATTTAAAAAAACAAAAATAACAAAAGGCTCCTGGTGTTGGTTGGAAAATGAGAACCTGAATTGATTCAGGCCCGCTGCGTCACAAACAAGGTTGGTCTGGCGCCCGTGTGTTCACTGACTCCACGAACTTCAGTGATCACTAGAGCCACGGCCGCCTGGAGGAAGCCAAGGGCCTCCAGCTCACAGATTCGCATTGTCCTCACCTCGCCCCTGCACCGCCACCCCCCACCCGGTGCCCCTGCGGAGTGAGCTGTCTTTGGTCCCTTCCAGGTGGCCCAAGAGCAGTCCCCGGGGAACGGAGAGGCCGGCTGTCCAGGGCAGGGGCACTCCCGGTGCAGCACCCCCCTCCACCCCCCTGCACACACAAAGGACTCCAATCCTGGCCGTGCGGCTTTGGGGCGACCGGCCTTGATTCCTTGCCCAGTTGGCGCCCCAGATGTCCACCCCAGGCCTCCTCCATTTACAGCTCCCTGTGCCCGCCCAGAGCTCAGCGCAGGTCTCTACTCTCCCACTCAGATCTCAGCTGAGGGTCGCCGGCGCGGGCTTCCTCTCTCACGGGTTCCATGGGGATTCTTTGAACCGCTTTCCTGATAATATCCTCCAAGATCTGCCAGCCCCCCGCCCCCCGGGGCTCCCCTTTTGGCCAATCACCGCACCTGTTCTGCACCTGCCTCCCAGACAAGCTCCAAGCCTGCAGCTGAGGCTCGGCGCTTCCCAAGCTCTGCGCTCCCAACAGAAGCGCTGTCCCAGCTGGACAAGGGGGCGTCCACGCCCCGGCTTCACGCAGGAGCCGGCCAGGTGGGCTCCCCACGCAGCCCTTCCACACCTGCCACCCAAGCCCTGCCGGGGCGGCCGGGCGCCGTCTGGACCCGGGGAGGCCGGCAGAGGGCGCGCCGGCACCGCCGAAGCTCGCGGGGGGCGGGGACCCGCGCGCAGCCCGCGCCCAGGGCCCGCGCGGAGCCTTCAGCGCATCCCAAGGATGCGGGGCTCGCCCTTGCGTTTCCCGTCGCTAACCTGAACCCAGCAGGTAAGGGCGACGCGGCCACCGCGACGCCCCGGAGCCGCTCGGAAGTTGGTTTAATTCATGGCACCTTCCATTCCTGAGCCCTCGAAGAAAAGGGGCTATTCAGGCCACCATTGCGAAATTGCTGCCGCGCTGCGGCGTTCTGCTGCCTGCGCTAGTGGAGCTGTTTTCTGGGTGCAGAGTGACCCTGTCCAGAGCACCAGGGGAGGGGCGACATGCTGCCACCGCAGGCAGGACCCAGGGCGCCCCACGTGCTGGGCCCTCCCCGAACCCCTATGCCCGTGCCTGCCCCGCCTGCTGACCTTCCCGGCGCTTCCCGCGCGCACCACCCACCACCCCTCGGGCCTCTCTGCTTGCGCTCCACAGCCTGCCCGGGCTGGGTGCATTTTAGAGATGCAGAGTTTGAGAAACAGTGAGCTGGGTGGCCACCTGGCTGGCAGGTGTGGGCCACGCTCAGCACCCACCTGGCGCCCTGACCCAGACCGCCTCCAGGGGGCTGTGCCCATGCAGGACGCGGGCCGCAGGGGCCTGGCATTTTCCCGGTCGCTTCCCTTTTCCGAGGGCCGGTCTTTTTCCATTGGAATCCTACATTCTGGGGAAAGTTACCAGGCGATTCAGCTGGATGACAGTTTTCTGTGTTAGAAGTGAAATTAGCAATGTGGTGAAGGCAACTCATCACCTGGTGCGTGGAATTAGCACGTCAAGCTGTTGTTATTCAGTCTGCTAAGCTGGTGCTCAGTGGCTCTGTTCCGGAAAGCTCTATTCATGTCCATCCATCCGCGTTTCCTGCTGGACCACAGACGGCCCTTTCTTGCTAAGCCGCAGCACCGAGGCACCGGTGGGGCTGTAGTCGGTGCCCCCAAGATGTTGGCCATCATTAGTTTAGCACCAAGGAAACACATCAGATGTTTTATCAAAACATTTCCTCCTGCTACCCTTCCACTCTGAGCAAGCCCTGACGTGGCAGGTGCGGGGGGAAGAGGAGGAGCCTGACGTGAGGGTCTTCTGTGGTGCCAGGGTGAAGAGGTTCCAGTCTGCTGTGGCCCTTTCCGAGTACCCAGGCCCCAGGCTCCCCATCAAAGTCCCATCTCGGGCCAACTGGGGCCTAGGCCACCTGGGCAGAGAGGACGTAGGGAAAGGCTCAGTCTCCCGAGAAGGTGGCAACCTGTAGAGCAGTCTTGAAGCAACCAGAAAACCCCTCCCCCGGACAAAATCCTGGCATTCCCCAAACCCGGAATGACCTCATAAGTCACCCCACACCAGTTATTGTTTCCTCACTGCCATTGTCCCGTTGGTCACCCCTCCACCTCTGGCCCCTGGGCCACATCTAATGTGCATCCGTCTTCCCAGAGAGTGGAGCTTGTCAGGAGATGGGGCTCCAGCTCTTGCTGTCACGCGGGGAGAGGTCTACTTCCTCTTCCTCCGGGCCCTAAGCCAAGGATGAGTGTCAAGGGCAGCCAGTGAGAGAAAGAAGTCATAGAGACGAAAACAGGGTTGATGGGGAGAGACTGGCCTAAAGGTGTTGCTGGTGTCCCTGGATCCAGCCATGCCTGAAACCCTCATCATGAGCTTTTCAGTTATGTCAGGGACCATAGTTCCGTATTTGTCCAACTCAACGTGAGCTGAATTTCTGCCTTTTGCAACTGACTTCTTGTTGCTTACCACTTCATTCCCGCTCAATGAAGGTCCCGTAGGGAGTGTGGAGTGTGAGGGGGAGCCAACGGACCCTCAGCCCTCGGCATCACTGCCCAGGGTGTGCAGCTGGCATCTGGCCAGGGTTCCTCCTTGGCCAAGGCACAAGCAGCTGATGGGGCCTTGCTCCCTTATCTGTGGGATGGACAGAATTAGTCCCCAGACCCACTCGGGAGGACAGATGACATGACTTCTGCTGTTGCCATGGAAATCCCAGAGCTGGTCCATGCGTCCTGCTTTCTGCCTTGATAATCTCTCACGCTGCAGGACCCACAAAGTCATGTCCTCTATGGCAGCGCACCAAGGAGGTAGTAAAGGAAGCTGCAGTTTTATGCATAAATATCATTTTCATTTCTACCTCCCTTGACCCAGTTTCAATTTTTCCTGCCTCAGAAGCCAAAGCTGGACATTGGGAACAGGCGCCACTCCCCGGGCGGCAGGCCCAGGCCCGCACGCTGTCCGTGATGCGCCCAGTTCCCCCTGCGACCCCAAAAGATGTGCCTTTGTCCGGTTACGAACCAGAGGAAGACCCCGAGGCTGGAGAGAGGGGCACTGGGCCAGCGACCGCCCCGGGCGCCGGGGAGGCCCCAGGAGGAGGGGCGTCTGTGGCGGGTGGTCCTCAGCCCCGTCTGGCCGCAGGGACCCGCCTGGACCCGGGCGCGGGGTGGGGGCCGCCGTCCGGGAAGGCCGAGCGGCCCGGCGGGTCTGGGTCTCCTCGCGCCTGGGGCGCACGTGGCCGCCTGCGCGCACGGGGGGCCGCCGGCCGCGGTGCCCCCGGAGCTCCCAGGCGCGCGGCCGGGCCGGGCCGGGCTGGCGCGGGGAGCGACCCGGGGCCCGGGCTGCGGCTCGGGGCCGCCTGCCCTTCCCGGGCGCGGGAAGGGCCCTCGGGGCTCGCCCGCCTCAGGGTCCCGCCCGGCCGCGCCCGCCGCCCCGGGGAGGGCGCCGCCCCCGCCCCTCCCCGCAGGCGCGCGCGCGGGGTCCCCCGCCGGGTCCCCCCAGGACGGAGCGCGCGGCCCGGGGCGGCGGGCGGGGGGCGCGGGAGCCCGGAGCTATTTTTACCGGCTGCGTCAGCGCGCGGCGGGGGGACAGCCGGCGCGGGGCGCATTGTCCGGGCGCGCCGGGGGCGGGGGGGGCGCGAAATACGCGGGCGGGAGGGGCGCGGGGCCGGGGGCGGCGGGCGGCGGGCGGCGGGGGCGTGGCCCCGGGGCGTGGCGGCCGGGGGCGTGGTCGGCGCGGGGGCGGCGCGGGGGCGTGGCCGCGGGCGGCGCGGGGGCGGGGCCGGGGCGGGCCGGGGGCGGGGCCGGGCGAGCTCCCGCCGCTGCGGGCTGGCGGCGCCGGGACTGCGGGGACAGCAGCGGCCGCGCGGCAGCGACGCCCGGGGAAGCCCGCGCCCCCCGCGCCTCCGAGGCGCCGGCAGCGGCAGCGGCAGCGGCAGCGGGAGCGCGGGGCCCGGCGCCGCCCGAGCCCGGGCCCGAGCCGAGGGCGCGCGGGAGCCGAGCGGGCCGGGCGGGCGGGCGGGCGGGCGCCGGGGCCGCGGCGGCCGCGCGGAGACAAAGCCCCGGGCCATGGCCGGCGGTTGCCGCGGGCTCTGAGCGCCGCCGCGCGCCCCGGGACCCCGGCCCCCCGCGCGCCCCGGACCCCGGGCGGCGCCTCCCGCCGCGGCAGCGCAGCTCGGGCCGGCGCGGCCATGGGCAACATCTCGTCCAACATCGCGGCCTTCCAGTCGCTGCACATCGTCATGCTGGGCCTGGACTCGGCCGGCAAGACCACCGTGCTCTACCGCCTCAAGTTCAACGAGTTCGTGAACACGGTGCCCACCATCGGCTTCAACACCGAGAAGATCCGGCTGAGCAACGGCGCGGCCAAGGGCATCAGCTGCCACTTCTGGGACGTGGGCGGCCAGGAGAAGCTGCGGCCGCTCTGGAAGTCCTACAGCCGCTGCACCGACGGCATCATCTACGTGGTGGACTCGGTGGACGTGGACCGGCTGGAGGAGGCCAAGACGGAGCTGCACAAGGTGACCAAGTTCGCCGAGAACCAGGGCACGCCGCTGCTGGTCATCGCCAACAAGCAGGACCTGCCCAAGTCGCTGCCCGTGGCCGAGATCGAGAAGCAGCTGGCGCTGCACGAGCTGGTCCCGGCCACCACCTACCACGTCCAGCCGGCCTGCGCCATCATCGGCGAGGGCCTGACCGAGGGCATGGACAAGCTCTACGAGATGATCCTCAAGCGCAGGAAGTCGCTCAAGCAGAAGAAGAAGCGGTAACCGCCGGGCGGGGCCGCCGGGCCGGGCGGGGGGCGCCCGCGAACAAAGACCGCGAGCCGGAGCGCGCCCCGGGGTGAGCAGCCGGAGCCCCTGCACCCGGGCGCGGGACCCGCGGCGCCCCAGCTCGGGGGGCCTTTTGTCTGGAAGCCGGAGCTGCTGCGGATGCGGGGGACCCCCCCCCCCGCCCGGGGAGTGGACCCGAGGGTCGAGCCGCCCGCCCAGGTGGAGGCTCAGCTGTCAGAGACAAAAGCCATTTCTTCTGCTCCAGCTGGGCCCGGAGCTGGGGCCGCCGGCCTCCCGGGACGTGAGTCACCTGAGGGGCACCCCGGGGCATGCCGCCTGCGGGAGGTGGGGGGAGTGCCTCGCCCTGCATTCCCGGGCCTGGGAAGCTGGAGGATTTTATGTCACGGGGCAGGCCCCTGTTGAAATGTCGTGTGTCCTGCTCTGGGCCCAGACGAGGGGGTGACCTGGCTCCTGGAGGGCGGCCGGTGACAACAGAGCGGCCGCAGGGCCTGGGACTGCTGGGCCTGACCGCAAGGGCCCCAGGGCGCGGTGCCTGGCGCGGGGGGGCGGCCTCGGATACCCAGTTTTGCTGAGAACTGCTTTTCGGCCTGGCATCAGACATCCTCCAGGTGGCTCCGGCCCTGTCCATGTGTAGGTCATTATCACACAAAGAGACCAATAAAAATGAAAAAAAAAAAAAGAAAAACCTCCTGGCGGTGGTGGCGCATATGCATTTACTGTTTTGCAGCATAGTTCAGAGTTTCAAGGGTAAAGCTCTTGGCGTAAATGCTGGACGGGGTGTGTGTCGATGCAGGTGCCCCCGACCCCATCCTGGACTGTGTCATCGGCATAAACCCTAGACCCGGGTGTGGAACCCCAGATTCTCTCCGCCACCGGCCGCTGACATGGGTGTGAGCGCGCCAGATGTGTGCCGGGCGGCGAGTGCTTCTGGCCAGGGATGCCTCTTGTCGTACTGGCCTCTCCGTGCTGGGGCTGGGTTGGTTTATTGGTTTTTTAAAAGAGAACTGCTATAAATGCTCACCTTAGAAATAGTCACCATAGGAGGGGAAAAAGACCTCGCTCTGCCCTTCTCTACCCCTTCACGCTGCAAGTGGCGACCTGTTCAATTTTCTAATTTGGTTTTCATTGTGGCCGATCTGGTTTTAAGTATTTCATTGAAAATAACTTGTTAGAGTATCTGATGTCATGCACCAGGAAATAAAACCCCACCTTGCAGCAAAAGCTGACCTCGTTGCATGGATGGAAAGGCAGGAGGGGGGGGTCCTTGTTCACGCTTGTGAAACTGACCTGCTTGTGAAACTGACCTGCGCAGCGGCCGCAGTGGCCGGCGAGCACTCGAGGTCCCAGCCAGCCTGCCACGTCTCGTCACCTGCACTCAGGCACTTCCCACTTTACTTGAAAGGCTTTGGGAAATAAAGGGAAAGAAGAGTAACTGCATATTTTTAATAGTGTAATTTAAAAAATCCTCTATAATCAGGACTGAGTCTTGGTTGGCGGGAGCCTGTCATGTACCCCAAAACAGTGTCCAAAGGAAAACTGAGCTGACTGTTGGATTTTCATTTCCTCTTTGAAGCCGTGTTTACAGGTAAAATCTGTTTTTTCCCCACTGTTAGATGTTTCTTTACAAAGGAGGCCTGTAGGAATTGGGCGTGATGGTGTGTGACATGTGAGTGAGTCACGTCAGCAACCTGGGCCTCTCGTCCACTTGCCTCAGGACGTCCACCCAAGCAGCAGAGGTGGACGTTCTGGCAGAAAACCCAATGCATAGTTACGTATTTTACACGGAGGCACCTAACAACTCATTCTCCTTTTCTCTTTTGTCAATGTGTTCGGTCCCCCTTCCGATGCTGGTCGTTTGTGGAAACTCAGTAGGGAAACTATAGCTAAGCAGTGCTGCAGAGCCTGCGAGATTTTAGTTTACATCCCCACAGCACACCCCGAATGGGCTGGTCCCGTCATCTGAAGATTCCGTATAGAATTATTAAAAGAAAAATCCATCTTCCTTTATTTTCTTCACATGCAACAATTTCTTAAGCACTTTGACATTTTGGTAGTTCCACACTATTGAGAGAATAATATATTTATTTTGTGACATTGCAGATGCCAAATACTGTAGCCTTCTCATGCTGACAATACTTGGGTTCAAGATCACCGTCTGTGTCCTGTCCCACCTGACCGAGGGGGCAAGAAGACTTTGTGTTTTGCATTATTAGGACTTAAGGGTGCAGTCACTGTTAGTAATTGTGCCGTACAGTAAGACCCTGTGGTGTAGCAACAAATAGTTAAGAGTCTCCGTTGATTTCCCTCATGTTCGGCCTGGTAATAGCCCCGATCATTTCTGACCACAGGGAGAAAGCCCAGGTCCAACCCCCTGGGCTGGTCACCTGGGGAGACCCCCCCCACCCCCACCCCCAGCCATCTGGGACCTAGGACACCTCCCATCCTGTGGGGAGGTCGGCTGAAATGTTTCCTCGTGGACACGGGGAGCATCAGTCCCAGACCCTGCCACGATTTAGGGCTGCGTTCTGGTTCCCCTGGTCGTCTCCTCTGCTGTAACTCTCTGTCCCGGCCATCTTCCTCTGTCTCCCTTCCTTTTATAATGCCTATACGATGCTGTGAACAGAAATAAATTATTTATACAAGCAAACGTTTGGGGTTTTCTGTGGATGGTTTGGTTCTGCTTGCTCTGGGGCCTCTTCTGAGTGCGGGGGGACCCCAAGCTGGCCTCAGGGGTCCTGGCGGGGTCTGGGCCAGATCCACGTCTCCGCTTCCTTGACTTGAGCGCCTCGCTCTGCCTGCGTGGTGAGTGGGCGTCGGGCCCCAGTGCGCCGCTCCCCTTCAGGTGCCTGCCGGCCACTGGGTCTCTCAGTCCTTTAGGAAGGCGGCCCAGGCCTAGCCCAGCCCCAGCCTCACTGGTCACAGGCACCCGGTGGCCATTACTCCAGCCACCTCCCCCGTGACCTGGGTCTGCAGCAGCTTTGCGCTAACCTGGCGACTCCGTCTCGGGCTGCGCATCCTGCTCCATCGTGCACGTCCTGCTCCGTCGTGCTCCATGTCCATCGTGATTCCTGACCCGTCAGCAGTAGGTGTGCTGAGGCCACCAAGGTCTGCACCTGGCACTGAGAAAGGTCCACTTTCTAGAGGAAAAACGGAGCCAGAACCGAGTCCCTCCTAGTCCCTTGTGGGGACTTGGCGCTCGTCGGGGCCTCCCCAGGGGTCAGCCCCATGCTCGACAGGGGCACCTGAAGTGTGGGTCCCAGTGCTGGAGCCAAAATGGTGCACTTTGAGAGTCAGGCTCAAGTGCTCAGGGCCTGTGATTTCCTGACGTTCCTTCGCCTCCAAACCTCAGTTTCCCCAGGTGTAAAATAGGACCCTGGTGGCTGATGGGAGGAGGAAACAGTGGCGCATGGGGAGTGCTTCTCAGGAGCCAGGTGCTGGGTGCTGGGTGCTGCCCTCCAATGAGGCCTGGACACTTACCCTTACTCCAGGCCTTGAAACTACATGGCTGCAAACTCTACCCCCCGCCCCCCAATCCTGCTAAAGCCAGGCTCCGGACCAGGTGACCTGTCCCAGCAGCTGCCCTGTGATAGGGAGGCTGATTGCGTGAAGCTGGGGCGTCTGGAGAAGGCGCCAAACTCAACTCTTGAGACTTCTGAACGCTTTGTTCATACCCACCCCCCCCCAATCCCTGGGCCGTGAGCCCCTCGGGAGGGACCAGACCTTCGGCAGCAATGTCGAGGTGCTCAGCAAAAGCAGGTGGAGAGACTGAATTTTTGCTGGTCAGTTTGGGTGGGGAACATCAAGTGGGCAGGACATAAAATAAACCATTTCCTGGGAAATATTTTCATGGGTGAAAACAGACAAAATGTTAGTATCGTTCCTGAGAGCCCCGTGGCGCAGGGAACCTGCCCAGCAGTTGGCCGAAGGCTGCTGAGCGCCAAGCGCAGCGAGACACCTGTGAGCCATGGCTTTCCTGAAGACGAGCAAGGCTTGTCTCTGTCCCGACCACCACAGACGCTAATACTGAGGCGCCAGACGGCCTGGGAAGGGCACCAGGCCGGCGCTGCGCCCCGAGACCTCAAACGCTCTTGGACCACGGACTCCTTGGCACACCGATCAGTGAAAATATTAGAAGGAGCAAAAGCTGAGCCCCAGGTTTTATGGCGCAGCCTGAATATAAGCTGGACGTGACAAATGACTCCCCGGGAAGCGCGGCCATGCGGAGCCGGAGGCCATGGCGCATTTTATGTTTTCCAGAGAAGTGGCCACTCTGGTCCCGTCCCTCGGCCCCTAACAGCCGAGGAGGCCAATCTTAGGCTGAAGCAGCTGCCATGTTCTCCCCAGGCCGAAACCCCCTCGGCCCCTTTCAGAGCAAGTTCAGGGGAAAGTGTCGGCGCCAGAGGGGCCCGGCCTGGTGAGCGGCACATTCTCCTGAGCCTGGGGTCGTGCGACAGTCGCCAGAGCGTCAGAGCCCGGGGTGCCCCCGCGTGCAGCCCTGCGGGCACAGACCTGTGCCCAGGGCAGGAGGTACAGGCTGGCCTGGGATGAGAGCAGGTTCAGGTGCTCGCACCTCGTCCCCAAAGCGGGTTGGCGCTTTGACGTGGTGACTCCACCTTCCGGTCGACATGTTACTTCATGTTACATATTTCCTAACTTACTGAATAGTAGAAATGCTTAAATATCTGAACAATAAAATGTTCTCATCAATGGAATTTAAAAAAAAAAAACAAAACACAGTAGAAGGAAGCGCCCGAGCTGGTCCTCTTGGACCCGGGGCTTGGCCTGCCCTGCTGACCCCGCTGACCCCTCCGTCCTCCGCGCCGCCCACGCCCCCGGGCCAGTGCCAGGACGTTCTGTCCCCTGCAGCTGAGGGGAGGCGCCGCTTCTCCCCTGGCTCTGTGCCTCCTCCCTGCCCGCCTGCCCCCGAAACAGCGCCGCCTTCCCTCTCCCACACCCCCCAGAAGGGACGTCCTAAAGCAGGGTGCGCAGGAGACCCCAGCGGCCTCCACGCTCCTCAGAGAGGGTGG